GCTGGTGACACCTCACAGCCGCCGACTGAACCCTACACTAGTAACAACAACAGCAATTGGCCAACCGCTCATGTTGCTCAGAGTGAAGCTTCTAAATCAGAGACACCACCACCACAGTCATCTTCTCCCAGTAAGGCAGCTGTCACATTCCAACACCAACAGCAGGCACAGCAACAAAACCGATATCAACAACAGTATTTTCAGGATTGGGCAGAAGCTAATCACTCTACCACTAATGCTGACAGCAGTGCCGCGGCCTACTACCAACAGCAACATTTCGACTCTTCGGCGGCGAATTCGGGCACTTCTACATCGCCACCAATAAATCATGAGGTATCCTTCCCACCAGCAGGCAACAGCACTGCTGAACTACCTTCCTGTCCTGGATGTTGCGTTCCTCCCGCCGCTACACCTCACCAAACCAATGCCTACCCAGAAGCTGGGACAGAATTGAACAACAGTCTTTGTCTCGTAGACCCAATGCGTGCACTTCCACGCTATTTTACGACAGGTCTCTGGCCTCCTGTCATCAATCCGGCTAAATTGGAATGGAATGGTGGGTCTGGTGTAAGAGAGGATGATGCCCGATTGTTGGACATGAACCGTATCTACAGTGATGGAAGCTACCGCATGACTGGGGGTGCTGCAGCTGCGACTGTCTACCCGGGTTATGTAGGGGGTGTACAGGACACAAAAGACTTTTTTTTCACTCCACGTCATTCAACTGCCGGAGATGCAGTCTTTCGACATAAAACTGAGGTGCACCGATTGTCAGTCGCGGCGGCGGTGTCGGCGGTGGATTGTGATCCGCAAGAATTAGAGGCCTTCGCGGAACGATTCAAGCAGCGGAGGATCAAGTTGGGCGTAACACAGGCGGATGTTGGCAAAGCGCTGGGTCGTCTAAATCTAGCTGGGGTTGGATCTTTCTCCCAATCAACAATTTGTCGTTTTGAGTCGCTCACACTGAGCCACAACAACATGCTTGCGTTAAAACCCATCTTACAGGCGTGGTTGGATGAGGCGGAACAAGAGGCAGCAGCAAGACAAAAAAACCCCAATGCCTATGACATGGAGGAGGATGATAAGAAGAGAAAACGCACCTCTATTACGGACCCCGAGAAACGATCATTGGAGGCGTTTTTTGGGATTCAGCCGAGGCCTTCGAGCGAAAAGATTGCCCAGATCGCAGAGAAATTGAATCTTAAGAAGAATGTGGTGCGAGTGTGGTTCTGCAACCAACGGCAGAAGCAGAAAAGAATGAAATTTTCGACGGTTGGACTGCTGCATCAAGTGAATGGAATGTGAAATTGGCATTCAGTTCAGCTAATGCTTCTGCTTTGCTCCTTATCAAGACCTTTTTCTAATCCTCTCCCGTAGTGTAAACATGTGCACTACCTAACACTTCAGCGCTTTATCTTTTACCGATCTGTGTAAATATATTAATCAAGTACGCGGTGAAATGTTTGAAAATCAAAATAGGTTGAGGTGCCGTTTAGCCAATGACTAGTTTATGAGTAATTTGTGTAGAATCTACTGTTCTCATATTTCAATAGCCTAAATCAAAGCAAGGGCTGTTTTGATGCACTAGGCAAGGCCCAAACCAAAGTCACATGACTATTAAAATATTTGCGGAATGAAACTACTTTTGGTTGTTTTAATAGACTCCAGAAATTGCGTTGGTTCATTAGATAAAATTAAAATGTGGTCAAGTGTTCAAGATTATGTCATGTGAATTTAATTTTCTGAACGCTCTAGACAAAACATGGAATGGTACGATGAAAAATTAACGTGAAAAGTTCCTCAAGGCGCTTGACTTGTTTGATATGATTGATTGCTAAAGACTGTGATCGACAGAAGTTTGAAGAAATACATGTTTAGATAGTAAGATTAAATATTCAATTGAACGTAGAAATGATGATTATTTAATGACTTTAAAAGTTGAAAATATTGTGACAAGGGTTTCTTATTCCTTATTATGCTCTTTTGCATAATTTGCTAATTTATTGAGGGAAAATGCAAAACATTATCTAAAGCTGCTATCTTTGGGTGGTGTAATTGGTAATAGTTCCTAAAATCATCCTACTTTTTTTGAAATAAAGACATTTGTTGCTTTTTTCCGGTAGAAATTTTCTAAATGTTGATTCGTAATTATTGGTTTTACTGATAGCGTAGCGCCTCGAGACTTCCCTGAAGACGAGAGACGACAACACTCGTACAGGATATGGATCTTCGACAGAGAGAGTATTAGGGCTACTGGCATAGCCTAAAGGCCAGCCCACCCAGCGAGGTACAATAGCCAAGACATAGAGAGGCCCTTCACTAAAACCGACCGCTTAACAAACAACCAACGTAGTACAATAACCTAATCAGCCAACGGCAACTAGTTTGGATGTTGAATCAGTAAGCCTTGCAAATTGCACCAAGTGCATTTCCCTGCAGTGAAGCTTAGTTAAGCGAAGGTTGGAAATGGATCTGGTTATTGCGAAACTGAAAATTACTTTCAATAAATGGAGAAAGCACATTATCTTTTGCAACACTACAAAACATTTAGATGACCAGCTGTGTAACAATCTTTAGCACTTTTGCATCCTAAAATCAAGCAGAATGCTTCAAACGCAATTATAGCGCTCAAGTTACTCATTAAGAAGTATTAAAGCACAAAATGGTTTGTTACCAGTTCATGAAAGTGAGGTAGGCATAACGACATAGCAAAATGTTGAAGATTTATGAATTTTAAACACAGCGGCCGGATTTTGAGACACCAAGAAGACTCAACTCATTAAAACAAATCGCATCTAGCTGGAATTCAGGCGTTAACTGCTGCTCACCACAATCCGACCATGCCGACAGTTCAGCGTTATCGATGCTCGCAACTTCACTTATCTGACCGCCACATCTACAGCTGACACAACCCAAATCACGCCATTGTAATTTCTCCTACAACGACCAAAAACCCTCTATTTAAAGGTTAAAGCTGTAAGTTTTGATGATACAGAGAGGCTTAATTGACAGAAAGTGGAGGGGAATTCTACTCTGTTAGGTTTATGTGTGTGTGCGGAAGGGAAGAGGGACGATGGAGTTTGTTGACTCGTGAGCTTTTCATCATCGCGGTAACGGCAAGGTGAAAGACAAAAGGATGGAAGGAGTGGGAGGGTATAGTAGAGTGGATGAACGCTGATCATTTGGATGAACAAAGGACTGACCAACATCACTGTACTTTGTGCATCCCAATTGTGTTACTGTTGCTGCCCTGGCACGCGGTGGCTTGAGCTCCTGCATTTCGACGACCAGGCTTATCCGGAAGCGACTTGAAATCCGGGAGACTTTGATAAAAGCTATCGGAGGCTTCAAGATCATTCATTTAACTGCATTTTTCTCAAAAATCCTTTCTACAAAATGAAAGACTTTGTTATCACCTCCGTCATATCAATTTAGTACACCGCGAAGGACGTCGCCCGGATACATTCTCCACACTAAGAGAATTGCTAAATATACGTTGTTTTCATTTTTACTTATTAAGCCCGTGTACGTGCTGTGGTTTCAGAGAGGTAGAGATATTCCTTTGTTGTCACTTTAGTTTCAGATGAATCATCAAGGAAAACCCCCACAGTGCCATCAGCTTCATCCATAGACCAAATATTCGCATGTCAAAAGAGTCATTTAAAACAACAAAGGTAGGAACACTGATTTTATTTCGGTGTCACTATTAAAGTTTACCTTTGCCTTAGTGTTTCGTTTTTTAGTGTCAAAACATTTGTAAAAAGTAATATTAGATTACAAACAGATGATTAAGCAAAAAATGAAAGGCGCGCTTTTACCTGAAAAAGTACTTTAATTTATTGTTCATTTTTTGTAAATAATTGCACAATGTATAGTGCTGAAAACTTGGCTGTCCAATACATGGCCCCTGACATCAATTAAAACTGTCGATTTGGCGATTTTTATCCATATTATGTTCTTAAGGGGTATTTTTTGACTGAGCGAGCTGGGAGATGGAGTACAAATTCAGAGTTCATTTCCTAACGCATTTTGCGAGGTCGTGACTTCTTAGAAGGGAGGAAGAGCTGATCAGCGGCCACATTTGGACATCACTTCTGATAGACCTGGTTAAAAGCTATTCTTGGTCGCTTGTAATCTCTGATGTGGGGCCTATTACGTGGCCTCACTTTTGATCGAAAATTTTTAGTGTATAATGTTGTGTCTTCCATGCGCATTACCTTGTGGTTTCTCATGATTAGACCTCTTGAGGGGATTGGGAACCAGCTAATTACTATAGGCTGTATTTCAAACAGTCGATGCATATTCACTTTCATCGCTGCCATGCTTTCTTACCACCGCCTCCCACTTTCGGGGTGAAGTCCATCTTCAACCTATGAGAGATGAAATTTAGGCCCTAGTTCGTATTGCGTGACTTGACCTTCTCTCTTCACTAGTTGATGGTTTACACTGCTCATCAATTCTGGTCTCAATGAAATTGCAGCTGGCAAATCATCGGTTAGAGCTCTTGCCATGAATTCTTGCAAATTGTGGTTGTTGGTGCAGACATTTGAACTAGTGAGCTTATTTTTTTTATACAGATGTATCAAATATATGATTCTGCGAAAGACCACACCACTGAGGAGTTAATTTACTTCAATTTAGGTGTGCTTCTAGGCCTCCATACAATTGACTTTGAAGATCAAAGGTATAATAATTTACTTCAAAACAGTCCCTTTAATGAGCATTTACGATGAGTTTGGGAGTAACCTGAATGATCGACGAGGCGTCTTGAAATTTGCAGTTCTCACTCGGATCCGTGCTCAACCACATGGAGACATTGATCAACACAAATGAGGTTAAGGTTAGCTGACAGCACTTTGGCGCCAGTGACAAAGGTGCGTAGAAGACCAGAATGAAAAGGAAGGGAAGGCAATGATGGATGAGGTATTCTCTACTATGTGTGCGGATGCACATCGTATTTGCTAGAGGACATTGGTGACATAATCAGCAATGGCAAGTAAAATATGTTAAATGATGAAAACAGTAAAGGCCTATTTACAAAGCAACGATGAACCTTTAGGACGACACTTTATTTCACTGAGAAGGCTGTGACTTTGGAGGCGTAATAAGCTACACTCATAGGCGATCAGTAAGTATGTCATGTCATGAGACATGAGCCACTAAATAGTGCGCCATCTTCCATTTAATGCTTGTTCTGGGACAACATGCCTTCCAAAAATGGCGGATCAGAATGAACTGGTGTGATATTGGAAGGCAACTTGGTAAATGAATAGAAAACCGTTAACTCCGATCCGAAATCCATCCCTGTTGCAGTTTCTACAGGTAATAAGGAATGAACGGTAAATTTGAAGAAGTGTCTAGGGATAAAGAAGATATTAAACACAGTCATTCCAACCCTGATCGCTTTGGATAAGCTAACATTTTTAAAAACATGTATTCAGTTTGCCTACATTGAAGTAGTAGAAAAACCTATAGATATAATTACACAAAATAATGGTAGACTATGATAAACCTTGGAGAGAACTTTAACAGCCTTACTCAAAATAATGGATAGTGTGACTTCAGAAAATTGAACATTCTGTCCATCAAATGGGTCGAGTATAAACAGGTAGTTCAAGTCTTCGGTATCAAGTTTCAGTTACATTAAGTCTTTATTAAGTCCTAACCCATAATCTCAATCTTCTTCAAGGACTTCCAATGAACAAAATAGAAATTGGTAGTCGTAAACTTTCCTTATCAAACACTTTGACCCTGTCCTCCTTCATCTCCTCCGCCAATAATTTTTGGTGGCCAATTTTATGCACTCTTGAAGTCTCCGCTAGCGACCTCAATAAATGGTATTGCTTTTAAAATAACACAGCTGAGCTTCGTCTTTACTGGCTAAGAGGTTGACGTTAATCCGTCCAGGATAAGATTCCCCAGTTTAACAATATTATTAAAAACTCTAGGTGAAAGAACAATGGTGAAATAGGACTTAACTTCTTCATAGATGAACAGAAACACGTTCTAATTGTACAGGTCAAAATCGACTTAATGAAGGCCGCAGAGCTTCTAAAAACAAACCTCCATCAGGACGAGTCCTCCAGTCCCTCATCTCCGCTGCATCACTTATTAGGCTTAATAAACCCACAATATTTGCCCCTAACGGGGCCACATTAACTTTTTCAGCCAGATAGGTTAGAATCTCACAGTATTCTCACTATGCAGTGGGGTAGTCCTTCTTGAATATGTTAACCTTTGTCGCGATCAACTTGACTCTGAGTGCCTGTTTGCGTCAGTGTGAGATAATGAAGGCTTTTGTTGTTTGAAAACCACTTGATAGACTTTTGTAGCAGGTGAACCAGAGCAATAGCTGGAAAGCTTGGCATGATATCAATCGCGAGTTTATAAGTTTAACCGATGACTTCTACATCGCGTCCGGACTAAGGCCGGACAAGCAGCCCTATTACATCATAAGCGTTTACTAATAATTTGTAAGTAGCGTTTAAGTCCGCAATATCCGTTTCCCAGTGCCGGAACTATCTACAGGTGCAGTTTAGAGCTTTAGCATTGTTTTCAATAAGTGTTTCTAATTCGAACACAACTAATAAAGGGAATGGGAGAGATTCATATTATACACAGCTAAATAGAGGCAGCTTGACGTTTTGGAATGCTATGAATGCATTTAACATAAGTTCACCGAAGTGCTAGTTATATTCCACGAAATAATTTATGGGTGACTTATGCTAGACTTCTTTTCATGGCCTCAGGATGTGTTGAATTTAGCGAAAATTTTTTAAACTGTCTCTTGCTTTGGAAGAAATACATCTAGAAAGCTGGCTATATTTACCCACATGTCATTTATGACTGAACACTCAAAACAACTTCTGAGGCACTCAAAAATAGCATACAAATCCATCAGAAGGAATACAAGCACTGACAGTTAAGAACTCAATGATTGTAGCCATTGGTGCACATGCAAAATTCACGGAATGCCAACTTTTGGCCAAACATGAACAATGTGCACTGAAATTGTCATGAAGGCAATAAAACTTCGTAGCAATGCTTACAGTGCCAAGAAACTTACTGTCCAGTAGTTTACAAGTAATAATTTAAACACCTTTTGACAAGTAGTGGTAGTTTTGAGTGATGCTATTTTATTCATCTTAACTTTGGGTTTTTAGGGTATAGGATACTCTTTTTCTTCTTGCTTGTAAGCCATGCAAACCAAAAAAAAAGAAAACTCTACATGCTGATTCATGCTGCATTAACTTTAGGGAGTCTGGAACTCTCGAGTGATGGCAGTGGCAGGCAAATCCGTTCTAATCTGATTCAGAAAATCCAGATTATTTACTGGTCATTAAATTCAAAAGTTATAAAGGGAAGGTATCTGTAGAGCCTACCGTAAGTAGGTTCCCAGTTTTTGTCTATACAAAACAAATTTTGACTGAACAAAGTCAGGGGTGT